AGTGTTTACTTATTTAAAAACTCTATCTCTTCGGTTTTACTGTAAAAGGCGGTGGTGGTTATAATAAATAAAAATTTATTTAAAAGATATTGATTCTTATTTAAAACCTGATTTATGTATCATGAAACTTGATTCTTGATTTATGAAAATGGAACTTTAAAACCCTGTCAGGCTGTAATTTCCTCTTAATTTTATCCGATGCGTTTGGGCCCCTTGGGTACTTCAGCTTGCTCTTACCATTTTAAGTTATCTTGGACATTTTAACTGTTATTTCTTCCAAATTTACGAACCCAATTCGACTGTTGCTTCTGGATATTCTACGTGAGGGGAGCTTATATTTTTGACGAGCAAAAATTATTGCAGCAAGGTTTAAAAATGTTTCATCACCATACATTGAAAGTTAATGCATTCTTTTAAAGGATAATTGCAGCAACGGTACCAAATATTTCATTTAGTAGTAAACTTTGCCCAAATCTTTCATTTGTGTCACTCACGGTACCAAATATTTCAAAAACTCGCAGTTGGAGTCCAATTTAAAAGAAACTGTTAGTTTGACCGTTGGTTGATCTTGACCATAATTTTAATTAATTTTACAAGGTTAAAATGATCAATTTATATTTTCTATAATAAAACAATTAAAAATAAAATAATTAAAACCAAAAACAAAAAAGAAAAAAAAAGTACATCTTTTCCACTCGCTCCCTAAATACCCTACCCAAACCTAAAACTAAGACCTACATATTTCCTAGCCATCGCCACCCATCCCCATCGACCATAGTCACCCCGACTGCCACGTCCATGTATAATAATCAATGAAACATCGATTGAAACACCAAAAGCTAAAACTTACCCAATTCCCGACCACCGCTCAACATCGCTTGTCTATACCTATACCATGTCCCATTCATCAGATCTGACCACCACATTGAAACACTAGATTGAACACAGACCTACTGCAATCTCCACCAGATCCTAACCATCAACCACCATCCACGGCGGAAGAGATTAAAAAACCATAACCACATCTACAACCACAACTAGAACCCACTAACACTATCATCATAATCCCACAACAAGAACCCACTAACACCACCACCTACTAAGACGAAAAGGATAAGGGCTTGTCGGATTCACCCAACAACTTTATTGCAATAAGCAAGTCCAAATGAGTGTTAGGGATTTTGATAGTTAAACCAGTAGCACTGCCGAAGGATGAAATGGCACCAGTGGGGGCTTTGGGAGGGGTTTTTGTCCTATTGGTGAGCTGTGGAGTGGGGGTGGAAAAAATGGTGGCATCGACATGGGGGTGGCGGCGACGACGATGGCACCAGTAGTAGCCTCTGGTGGTTTTAGGATAAGAGGATTAGGGAAGAATGGGATGGTGGTGAAAGGTGTGCTTAATTTTTCTTATTTAATTATTAATATATTATAATTGTGTTTTTAGTTGAAAATGTAAATTTACCATTTTAACCTTGTAAAATTAGTCAAAATTAGGGTTAAGGTCAATTCTTTGGTCAACTAACGGTCAAACTAACAGTTTCTATTAAATTGAACTCCGGCTATGAGTTTTTGAAATGTTTGGTACTGTGCGTGGCACAAATAAAAGATTTGGCAAAGTCTACTACTAAATGAAAATTTTGGTACCGCTGCTGCAATTATCCCTTCTTTTAGTCCTTAATTGTCGAGGCTATAATTTAAGTGGAAAAGCGGCCAAGCCAACCACCATCATTTTTTTGACATGCGATATATATATTCTGCATTTTTGGTCTCCAAAGGAAAAGTACTTATAAATTCAAATATGGAAGAAATCAATTAAGTAGGTTGCTTGAAGCATTATTACGAGCTAGTTGTGCTATCACTAAATTTAATATTTTATCACCCGAATGTTGTTCATAAGGGGCAGAATATTCATTATGCTACAATATTTTAACTTGTTTGGTTATCTATGTATCACTTCGGCAGCTTCCAATCAAGCCCTCCAGCCTATAACTCTTGGATATACATTGAGAATTATATTTATGATATGGATTAGATTGTGTGAAATGGGCTAAGGATTTATATTTCTTGAGCCCTTTGGGGACTTCAATTGGTGGCATAATTGTGAACTCCAGCTAGTCCTTGTATATCAAAGCTTAGCTCGTAGATTTCTTATTTAAGGCTAGCTTTAACTCATGATTTTCTTATTATTAAGGGTGAGTCCGATCTCGTGATTTTCTTATTATTGAAGGCGAGTTTTAACTCGTGGATTTCTTATTATCAAATACAGCATTTTCTGAGTCCTCATTCCTTGAATAAAGGAAGAGGCAAAATCTTGAAGTCGTTATTATTTAAATACAAGAAAAGGATGCATATTTTGGAATTCTTATTTCTTGAAAAAGAAAGAGGTAAATTGCCAGATGTGTTTGCCTTTGTAAAATGAACTATTTCTGGCTTAGCGAGATGCTTATTCCTCGCTTCTCACTAACGTTGAGCCCGACTATAAGGTCTCTTCATGCTGAGATCGGCTTATAAGACTCCGATAGTTCGAGAGCTATTAGCCAGATGCTTATTCCTAGCTTCACTGGATGTTTATTCCCGCCTCACCAGATGCTTATTCCTAGCTTCACGAGGTGTTTATTTCTCGCCTCGCAAGATGTTTATCACCCGCTTCGCTAGATACTTATTCTTGGCTCCGCGAGTTTCTTATTCCTCGCCTCTCACTATCGTCGGACTTAGTAGTAAGACCTCATCTATCTGAGGCCAGCTTATAAGACTTCGATAGTTCGAGAGCTATTCACGGAATATTTATTTCCCGCCTCACTAGATGCTTATTCTTGGTTTCGCGAGATGTTTAATCCTCGCCTCTCATTATCGTCGAGTCTAACTATAAGATATCATCTATCCTAGGCCAGCTTATAAGATTTCGATAATTTGAGAGCTATTTGCGGAATGTTTATTCCATGTCTCGCTAGATGCTTATTTCTAGTTTTGTGAGATGCTTATTCCTCACCTCTCACTATCATCGAACCTAAATATAAGATCTCGTCTATTTGAGGTCAACTTATAAGACTCCGATAGTTCAAGAGCTATTCGGAAGATGTTTATCCCCGTCTAGCCGATGCTTATTCATGGCTTCGTGAGATATTTATTCATCGTTTTTCACTATCGTCGAGTCTAGCTATAAGAACTTGTCATTTCGAGGTCAGCTTGTTTATATAGGTCGAGAGCTATTTGTCGGGTGTTTATTCTCTGCCTCACTAGATACTTATTCTTGACTTCACGAGATGCTTATTCTTCGTCCTTCATTATCGTCGAGCACATCTATAAGACCTCATCCACCTGAGGCCAGATGATAAGACTCCAATAGTTTGAGACGATTCATTAGCTCGATATTCATTCTTCACTTCACGAGATGCCTCACTATATGATGCATGATAGACTCTTTCCATATTTTATCTTGGAGATGTTTAATTTGCTATTATTAACATTATCGTCAAGAGTATGTGGATGGGTCAAATGGACCTCAATTTACTGTCTATTTGCAGTGAAGATATTATGTTATATTGGAGGTTGGTTTAGTTCATGCCAAAATTTTAATAAATCATATGCGATATCTTTTTTGAGGTAATTCGTAAGTCCTCGCTTATTCAGGTTCGCACACATTTTTTGAGGCAGTTTGTAAATCCTCATTCATTGAAGCTGTTTATATTCTTGAGACAATTTATAAGTCCTCACATATTTGGGATCGAAGCATATTTTCGAGGCAGTTCGTAAGCTCTCAATTAGTGGAGCTAATTATATTTTGGAGGCAATGTGTAAGATTTCATCTACTAGACAGTTAATATTTCAAAGTTCGATCCACACATGAATGTACAACTCAAACTTGAGGACTATTATTACTCCTATAAATTACGTGGCATGCTTAGACGGGGGGTCCCATATGTGCCGATGTGACATTGATTATTCAATTAATTAGGCCTATTTTATTAAGCAATTGCATATTGGGCTTAGATTTTGGCCAATTTCATTGGCACCCATTTGACCCATCCCATTTCTTTATATATATTTAAGTTCCTTTACAATCAATGACACGTTTTCAGACTCTAGCCAGACCCCTCTATCGTCTCTTGCACGTATTTTTCTTTCATCCGACCGTTGACTTGATCGTCAAAGTGCAAACGGCCACCGAAACCTTTTCTCGATCGGCGGCTTTTACCTTCTAAAGTGGCGTTCAGTGTGCAGGTGATGTCCACGTGGAGGGGACTTGACCGAGATTTTGTTGGTTCATTTTTTGAAGTCAACTAAGCCCATGTTTGGTTCGGTTTAAAAAGTGGATTTAAATTAAAGTCAAAAGCAACAATTGATTATAACCACATATTTTATATGAGCTATAATTTTTCAATCATATATTTTATACAACTCACAATTTTAAATCACACATTGTATCAACTTTTATCAAAATCTATTAAAAATCTAATTTTTATTGAAAGCAAATTGAGGTATGGATACTTGATTAAATAAAATTATTTGATTGATACCAAGTTAACTATAATTACTGTGAGTAGAATTAACCCTAACGTAGATAAATAATTTGTACAGTTTTGCGTTAAACTTGGCCTCTAATTCCATTTTGCGGCGTGGCGCACGAGACACTCATGGCTATTGCCAGCCCCACGATTACCCTACCCACGGTAAACTCAGAGGAGCCGTCAGTACTCAATAACTACTTCTCCACGTGACTAATTAAACGACACCGTTCAATCCACCCACACCACCCCTGCCATAAACCAAATATTCTCTCCTAAAGGCTAAAACCTCAACTGCATTGAACAAAGATAGCCTCTTTTCCTTCACATTTCGATACAAACAAGAGAGCGGCTTCTCTGCATTAGTTCCAAATCCATCGGCGATTTCTCCAATATCTCTTTCAATTTATACTCTCTTCTCACTCTAAATTCTCTGCAATTCCTCTCTCTAGAGCCTCTAATTTTCTCTTCGTATAACCTTTTGTAACTGTAGTAATGGCAACGAGGATGATTCACGGCGCATTTGTGACGAATCCTAGCTCTGGATCTCTTCAGAGCCAAGCTGAGAAGCTGAAGCCGACGGCTGGCTTTGGTTCGAAGCTTTTGTTTCAGTTTGAGAAGAAGAGCCGCCTTGGAGTGGGCCATGTTAGCTTGCCGATCGTTGCCATGAGATCCACACGAGTCGAGCCGGAGATTATGCCCGTGACTACTGTAGATGAACCCAAGGTTCTTGTTTTTCCTTCCTTTTTTTAAAGAGCGTCTTTTTATTTTTTATGAAATGCAATGCTTGTTTATTGCTGGTGAAGATTGAGTTTTTATGCACCATGAACGTTAATTTTCCAACTTTCAAGTATAATGCCCGTTTATCGCTATCACATTAAATATTATGTGCACTGCATACCTTTAAATCATAATGTAATATGGATTGCATATTTTTTTTCCTTTCTTGGGAATATTAATTCTGGAATTTTCAGTTGTGGGGCTTGATATACTAATTCTTCTATAGTGTAAAGAGAACTGAGTATTGCTAGTCGATCCAATCGTCCATTCTTTTTTCATAAATTTAATTGCTTGTAAACTTTTGAAATGAAAGTTGTCTCTTTGTATAATAGGACAAAGTATTTAAAACTGACTCAGGATATTTGAGAGATGGAACTGTGGCTTTGGAATTGGAAGTTTGAACAAATGTAAAGGATTCAGTTTTGAAGGAAAACATTGTCCAACCTTTTTTAGAGTGTATCAGTTACTCGTGACTGAATTTAACTTGTATTTCTGTTAAAATATTTTAAATCCGATTCAGGCTGGGATATTTTTAATGTTGTGTCTGGACCTTGACTTTGTCTATAGACTTGGGTTAGAACTCGTTCATATTCACACCATTGATCTTTTAATCATTGAAAGAAGCATGCACTGAATGTGAGAAATTTAGTACAGTTACGTGCTCTTATGAACAACATTCCAATGGCTGTTTTCTTGACCAGGCAGAGGAGCAAATTAAGTATTTACAAACAATTCAGGAACTTGGTGACACATCAGTGGGTACATGGTCTAAGCCTACAGTAAGACGCAAGACAAAGATTGTTTGCACGATTGGTCCGTCAACCAATACCAGGGAAATGATATGGAAGCTGGCAGAGGCTGGGATGAATGTCGCTCGTCTGAACATGTCCCATGGAGACCATGCATCTCACCAGAAAGTCATTGATTTGGTTAAGGAATATAATGCCCAAGCAAAAGACAATGTTATTGCCATCATGCTTGACACCAAGGTAAGTCTGTTTTGTTTTGGCTCATAGATCACTGCTTGACATTTCAGGCTATAAAGTAACATCTTTCTAACTGTGTTAATCAAGTTCGTCACTGTTTATTATATATCGTTGCAAAAAAGTTTCTTTAAATAGAGGATTTTTATTGCTAGAATGATATGTCATATTTAACGAGTATTTGGAATCTGTAAAAAGCTATTTCTGCCTCGACGATTTGTCTACCGGTAATAATTGTACAAGTTTTGGTTTTTGCTGCCCTTTTTTTTCCTCTTTGAGCGTAAGGCTCAGAATATAAGAAATATTGAATTCATGCATTTTCAAGGGCACGAAGCACAATAATTAAATAATATTTGTTAATATGTTTCCCTTTTTTAAAATTTTTCTATATTGCATGAATTCTATTGGCAGGGTCCCGAGGTAAGGAGTGGTGATTTACCTCAACCCATTATGTTGGTGAGCGGCCAGGAATTTACTTTCACAATTCGAAGAGGGGTTGGTACAGCAGACTGTGTGAGTGTCAACTATGATGATTTTGTAAATGATGTAGAAGTTGGGGACATGCTTCTTGTCGATGGTATGCTATAGATTTCTTTTTCTTCTTCTGTTTGTAATCAATACAATCAGAATGGTGGTAATTCAAGATGCGTGCATGCTTGTTTCTGCTAGCTTCCATTTTAGTTACATGACCGAAGTGCTTATGGGTAAGGTTATATAACTTCAGCTAGGTCTGGTTTGGGAGATTCGGGAAATTGGACTTTTAACATTCACTGCCTTCTGGAATAGTTATACCACTTTCCCGTCAAACCACTAATGAAGAAATCTTCTGTGTGCGCTTTGATATGTAAACTCTAATACATATATTAATTTAACCTTTCCATCTCATGATGTGTGCCTTTTTTTTTTTAAATCCATTACTGACTATTTCTTGGCAATAAAGGTGGTATGATGTCGTTAATGGTAAAATTGAAGACTGAAGATTCTGTAAAATGTGAGGTCATTGATGGAGGAGAGCTTAAATCTCGACGGCATCTAAATGTTCGAGGAAAAAGTGCTACACTTGCATCCATTACTGGTTAGACTCAGCAATATTTTATGATATAACTACCATCCTTTTTATGCCAAATCGCCATATTGCATATGCATATGTATCACTTTTCCTTTGACTGCTGGGTATTTGAATGTTTGTTATGCAATTGAACACAACCTTTTGTCCTTCCATGCAACAGAGAAAGACTGGGATGACATCAAATTTGGAGTTGACAACAAAGTTGACTTCTATGCTGTTTCCTTTGTCAAAGATGCGGCTGTGGTCCACGAATTGAAGGACTATCTGAAAAGTATTACAACCTGTCCATTTATATGCTGTGATATTAAGTATTTGAAATTTAACTTACTGTTTGTGTATTCTTTTTCATGCAGATGCTGGTGCGGATATTCATGTCATCGTAAAAATTGAAAGTGCAGATTCCGTACCGAATTTACATTCAATCATAACTGCATCAGATGGGGTAATTACAGGAGTATTTATTTGGCGAATTGAGTTGAATGAAAACTGTTACTAGATAAGGCTCCTGGCTTGATATTGATTTGAGTCTGAAGTCAAATAAGTTCGAAGAAATTAATCTTACATTTGGGTTGTTTCCTATAATTGATTGTACAGTAGTTTGGGATTTAATAAAAATCGTAGTATGAATTGGTTTTATATCTTCCAAATGGTGGAATAATTATAAAAAAAAAAAAAAACAACACCACCACGTGTGAGGGGTTAATTTATTGGAGCCAAAAGAGTTTCCTATCTGAATGTGTTTCTCGAGTCATCATTACCTTTTGGTCCTTTAATTTGGAGGCCATTGACTTACCATTGCAAGATAAAACTGTATTGTTTTTCTCGCCTCAGGCTATGGTTGCAAGAGGGGATCTTGGTGCAGAGTTGCCCATCGAAGAGGTTCCTATATTGCAGGTAATTGCTATGTGATGGTTTTTGAAACAATCATCTTTTGGCCCCTTATAGTTCAATAAGCATACTGGAGGGAACTTGGGGCCCTTGAACGTTTCCACATGGAAGCCACGTAGTAATCCATTTTACTTCTTAAGATAACAATTTAGCATGAATTGTAGGAAGAAATAATCAGGCTCTGTCGTAGTATGGGGAAAGCAGTCATAGTGGCAACAAATATGCTTGAGAGCATGATAGTTCATCCAACACCTACCAGAGCAGAGGTATCAGATATTGCAATTGCAGTTAGAGAGGGTGCTGATGCAGTTATGCTTTCTGGAGAAACTGCTAATGGGAAGTAAGCAACTTTACCTTTGATCTTATTTGTAGTACTTTATTGAAGTTTGGGTGCAGAAAACACATAATTTCTAATGGTTGTTTGGGATGGTGATTCATCCCGCAGTATTTAACTTTTTATAGATTCTTTTCTATCAGATAGGTCAATTCATTCAACTATTTGACAACCGTAGAATATCGGATATTATAACATACAACATATTCATTAGGAAAGTCCTTTCAGATCAGAGTTGATCCCATCTATTGTGTTATTGAATTTGATCTTTGAAAATCTTTGGGGTTTGTTAAGCAATTTACGCCCTGTTCTTTAACTCATATTATCCCAAACTCATTTTCAACCACCCAGTCTCTTAATAAAATAATTTTGCACAAGGATTCATAACTTTTCCGTACTTTTTAACCACACATTCTTTTAAAAAATCACTTTTGTACAAAACCTATTCTCAAAAAATGTACATTGAACAGGCTCTACCTTTTTTGCTAACAAACCATAGTATAAAATTACTTTCTAGAAACTAGAAAAGTAACTTTATAGCACAGCCTATTTTCACATATTATTTTTCTTTATCTATGATATTATGCTACGTACATATGATTAACTTATTTTCACTTCCTTGGAAGGTTTCCACTGAAAGCTGTCAAGGTCATGCACACTGTGTCTTTGCGGACCGAAGCAACTATGGTTGGTACACAGACTCCACCAAACCTTGGCCAAGTCTTCAAGGTCAGGGCAGTCTTATATATGTAGTTTCTGAGCCAGTTATGCAAGTACACGCAGATGAACAAGAATGTGCTCCTAACAGACTGAAATTTTAACGACAATTTTCATTTTGTGCAGAATCATATGAGTGACATGTTTGCATACCATGCAACCATGATGTCTAACACACTTGGAACTTCAACTGTTGTCTTCACCCGAACTGGTTTCATGGCCATTCTACTGAGTCATTATCGGCCTTCTGGCACAATATTTGCTTTTACAAATGAGTGAGCCTCTTGATCTACACTGTATACGCAGCTTTTATTATTGCTTTTAAACCTTGATTTTCCATTTTTAAAGTGCTTTTGGTGGCTTACTTGTTTTATTACATGAATAATCTCCATTACATGTATAATCTGATACTCATCCATTAGCTACTTCTGAAAACTTTATATAACATGATTACTTCGAAAAAATATCCCAGGAAATGATTATTTATAATTTTAATTAAATTGATTGTATGCTTAATTGTGTTACAGGAAGAGAATACAGCAGAGACTGGCTTTGTACCAGGGTGTTTGTCCCATATACTTGGAGTTCTCAGATGAAGCTGAGGAGACCTTTTCAAAGGCTTTATCTTTGTTGCAGGTGAGGTTTCACTTTTACTCAATTTCGGATTATCGTTTAGTATTGTAGAGATGGTAATTTGGATATATCAATGAAATAAGAACAAAAGATTGATAGTAGGTACTCGGTTAGCTACATGATCGATATGCAACTGATCTTCCTAGTACCGAGTATGCAAATGATTGTTCTTGGTGCCATGTAAATTGTTGCGTCATTTAGCCTTATGTTATGAAACTCACTCTCTTGAATGCACTGAGCCCCTGTTTGATGGCTATTATTTTGAGAGAATGGAGTTTTGAATAGTGATTTTTTGGAGTGTGTGGTTAAAAAGTAGGGAAACGTTTTAGATTTAAATGCAAAATATTTTATTGTGTAAATGCGTGAATGAAAATGGTTGTCAAACAATGGTTAAGCAACTGGATCAACGACACATGCCCTGTTCTGGCGAATTCGATCCTAACATATTAATATTATACATACATCAACTTTAAATGACTGCCTGATCCTTGTGCTTTATCTTTTATGTTTCTGAATTTGTGTTTAGTGCTCATGCATTAGGATTCAATTTTTTTTTTTTTTTCCTTTTTTTCTCTCAAATGTATTGTTGTGAATCTATAGAAAAACGGGATGGTGAAAGAAGGCGAGCATGTTGCTCTTGTTCAAAGTGGTAGACAGCCTATCTGGCGGTCCCAGTCGACTCATAACATTCAGGTCAGAAAAGTATATGACGGAGAGCCTATCTGGAGGTCCCAGTCGCCTCATAATAATCAGGTCAGAAAAGTATAGACGGGCAAAGGAGGTTGGAGACCTAGGTCCTCACATCAGAATTTATTTTCAACCCCTGGGGTTCTTCAATTATCGACTCAGCGTCTGCCCCCTTTTTTTTATTTTTGTTTGTCTAATTCGTTTCAGCAAATGTACCTTGTTATAAGATTTAGTTGTTGACTCTATAACCTATTTGAGAAACGCACTCTGCACTTTTATTATTCTGTGGTAACAGTATTAGAATTTGCTTTTTGATTGGTTAATAGGTGTTGGAAAGTATTCTTTCCCTCTCATTCAAGATCAAGTGAACAAGACTTTGTATTCAGTCTTTTATTTGCCTTTTGTGTGCTGTAACCCAACAAGGGACAGACATTTAAGAGTTAAGCCATTTGTACACCGAAGTGTACATGACTTTTGACAGTATTCAAGTTGGCATGATTTGATTGGTGAAAAAGTTGTTTATTTTTTTAAACTGCTCAATATCGTGTTGTTATGTGATACAATGTAAAAAGTGATGTACATGTAGCATGGCTGAACATTTAATACCTTTAGTTTACTTAATCATGTCCGCTACAATATACGAACACTCGAATTTACGCTAATCTGCACATTTGCGGTGTTTTAGGAATTGAAAGATATCTTCGGGTGGATGCCTAAATTCCAATTAAATCATTAATTCGAAGGGTGGTTCTACTGTCGACACAATTTTTATTTGATACATTACATTTTAATTGTAGTTAAATTCAAATTTTGTTAATTGTAGCAATTATTTTTAAACTTTTATTTTCAACGAATTTTTATTTTCAACATTCTATTAATTATGATGATTTATATCCAAATATTTTGTTTTTTTGCTTTGAAATGAGTGAAAAATATTTTTCTACACTTTTTATTTATTTATTTTTTAAAAATATGATGTGAAAATAAGTTTTTTTATCCCGCCATTTCAATGGACTATTGAATATAAAACTGTTATCAAATGCAAAATATGTTAATGAAAAGTTTGAGGATAATAATAATATGAAAAATTGTTAGGTACATAAGTGCTATAATGAGCAAAGATTAATAACTTTAAGTACAATTAAAATATGGTGAAAGAAATAAAAATTGTGATGTGAATACAATCGGCTTTTACATTTTAAAAGAGTCTTCTCTAATTTTCCCCTTAAATGTGCAAATCTCCCTGTTCAGTCTCAATCTCGTTGAATACTGGACGGTACATCACCCTGTCCTGTTCAAACTATCACAATTGGTGATGTCAAGACTCTAAAACTTGCATATCCCTCCTGAAAACGTCAAGATCAACTAATCGTTCATGCCATTCTTGCCTCTCTCATTGAACCAATCATCACTTTCATCCCCTTGGTCTCCACTTCCCATGAGGCTTGGACTAGTCCCATATATTTACATTTCCAATCACACATCATTCATCTTAATGACATTGTCTCCACGAACACGAGGAACTCTATCTATTGCTGATTTTCTACCCAAAGATATACCCTATTTGATGAGCTATCCACCCTAGGCGCCCCACCTAGAGATATTGATCTCTTTGTATACTGCACTCGAGGTCTTGGGCCCACTTACAAAGAAGTAGTTTTAACTTTAGGAAACCGTGATTACTCTACAATAAAATGTTTTATTACTCACCCAACTTAAATATAGTCACAATTTACTCGTCAAATTTCAAACCGCTTTCTGATGATCACTCATCTTTGAGACATTTACTACATCCATTATTCGATAGATTCTGTTCCCCTCATTGCTGACGTTTAGCATTAAAACCTCACGTGGCAAGTTACGATTGTTATAAAATACAATTCCATCAAACCATTCAAGTAAAAAAAAAAAAAAAATTACTTACCAACTTATACTATGGCTACAATTTACTCATCAAATTTCAAACTGCTTTCCAATAGTCACTCATCTTTGAAACATTTCACTCCATCCATCATCCACCAAATTTCGTTCCCCTCGTCACTAACCCTTCGTGCGAAAATTCCACTTGGCAAGTAATGATTGTTAAAAAATTTACAATTCAGCTAAATCATCTAACTCACCAAAATCGCCATATTTGAAACGCGACTTTTACGGCCCCATAAACTTTCCCCAATTGTTTGTCCCCAATTTCAACATCAAAAAACCGTAATCACTATTTCACTCATCTCACCCATGTAGAGCTAAATTGTGGAGAAGGACACAAGAGGCTACTGCTTATAAAGCCCCATCCTCCAATCTTCTATTTTTGTAGGTATGTGTCCGACCATTTGAGGAAGGAAATATTTGGGTGATGTGTTTAGTGGTTAGAAAAAGTAAATATTTGTTGAATAAAGAAGTAGCATAAGTTGAATTGAAGTTTCAAAAGAAAAGAAGATGATAGGTACTAGGTGTAATTTTCACAAAAAATAATCATATGAAAATCAAATGAATAAGAAATATAGCAAAACATATTAATAGTAAAAGAGGCCAAATATATACCCACATAATACAATAAAGAAAAAGAGCAATAGAGCATGTACTACATGCAACAGTCCGGACAACTTTATATTAAAATTTGCATATGGTGTTACGAATATTTACATAAAACACAGACGACATACTAAAACAGAACACAAATATTTACAAGGGATGTAGACAGCCTAAAACCAACTCAACCCAGACCTAGCTTCATAATTTAAACCCTCGATTTCAGTTGAAGAGCACATCCATTCATGTGACACAATAACGAGACGATAATTTCTTATCCACCATGACAAGATACCGATATGAACAGAATGCAGAAAAACCGACTCAAACCAACTATGATGAAACGAACACATGTTCACATAATACTCACATGGGATGGGACCCATTTCAAAAGTGGGTTTCACGACTCCCACCGCATGTGAGTATTATGTGTACCATTATGTAGAAAAATTATGTACAAGTAGCATTTTTGTAAGAGTTTAGCCATTTGTACACGAGAAGTGTACATGACTTTTGACAGCATTCAAGTTGGCATGATTTGATTGGTGAAAAGGTTGTTTATTTTTTTAAACTGCTCAATGTCGTGTTGTTACGTGATACAATGTAAAAAGTGAAGTACCTGTAGCATGGCTGAACATTTAATACCTTTAGTTTCCTTAATCACGTCCACTACAATATACGAACACTCGAATTTATGCTAATCTGCACATTTGCGGTGTTTTAGGAATTGAAAGATATCTTCTGGTGGATGCCTAAATTCCAATTAAAACATTAATTCGAAGGGTGGTTCTATTGTCGACACAATTTTTATTTGATACATTACATTTTAATTGCAGTTAAATTCAAATTTTGTTAATTGTAGCAATTATTTTTAAACTTTCATTTTCTACGAATTTTTATTTTCAACATTCTATTAATTATGATGATTTATATCCAAATATTTTGTTTTCTTGCTTTGAAATAAGTGAAAAATATTTTTCTACACTTTTTATTTATTTATTTTTTAAAAATATGATGTGAAAATAAGTTTTTTTTTTTTTTTCCGCCATTTCAAAGGACTATTGAATATAAAATTGTTATCAAATGCAAAATATGTGAATTAATGAGAAGTTTGAGGATAAGAATAATATGAAAAATTGTCAGTTACATAAGTGTTATAATGAGCAAAGATTAATAACTTTAAGTACAATTAAAATATGATGAAAGAAATAAAAATTGTGATGTGAATATAATCGGCTTTTACATTTAAAAGAGTCTTCTCTAATTTTCCCCTTAAATGTGCAAATCTCCCTGTTCAGTCTCTGTTCAAACTATCAAAATTGGTGATGTCAAGACTCTAAAACTCGAATATCCATCCTGAAAACGTCAAGATCAACTAATCTTTCTTGCCATTCTTGCCTCTCTCATTGAACCAATCATCACTTTCATCCCCTTGGTCTCTCCACTTCCCATGAGGCTTGGACTAGTCCCATATATTACATTTCCAATCACACATCATTCATCTTAATGACATTGTCTCCACGAACACGAGGAACTCTATCTATTGCTGATTTTCTACCCAAAGATATACCCTATTTGATGAGCTATCCACCCTAGGCGCCCCACCTAGAGATGTTGATCTCTTTGTACACTGCACTCTGTCTTGGGCCCACTTACAAAGAAGTAGTTTTAACTTTGAAACCATGATTACTCTACAATAAAATGTTTTATTACTCACCCAACTTAAATATGGTCACAATTTACTCGTCAAATTTCAAACTGTTTTTTGATGATCACTCATCTTTGACACATTTACTACATCCATTATTCGATAGATTCTGTTCCCCTCATTGCTGACGTTTAGCATTAAAACCTCACGTGGCAAGTTACGATTGTTACAAAATACAATTCCATCAAACCATTCAAGTAAAAAAAAAAGACTTTCCAACTTATACCATGGCTACAATTTACTCATCTTCAAACTGCTTCCCAATAGTCACTCATCTTTGAAACATTTCACTCCATCCATCATCCACCAAATTTCGTTCCCCTCGCCGCTAACCCTTCGTGCAAAAATTCCACTTGGCAAGTAATGATTGTTAAAAAAATTTACAATTCAGATAAATCATCTAACTCACCAAAATCGCCATATTTGAAACGCGACTTTTACGGCCCCATAAACTTTCCCCAATTGTTTGTCTCCAATTTCAACATCAAAAAACCGTAATCACTAATTCACTCATCTCACCCATGTAGAGCTAAATTGTGGAGAAGGACACAAGAGGCTACTGCTTATAAAGCCCCATCCTCCAATCTTCTATTTTTGTAGATATGTGTCCGACCATTTGAGGAAGGAAATATTTGGGTGATGTTTTAGTGGTTAGAAAAAGTAAATATTTGTTGAATAAAGTAGCATAAGTTGAATTGAAGTTTCAAAAGAAAAGAAGATGATAGGTACTAGGTGTAATTTTCACAAAAAATAATCATATGAAAATCAAATGAATAAGAAATATAGCAAAACATATTATATTAATAGTAAAAGAGGCCAAACATATACCCACATAATACAATAAAGAAAAAGAGCAATAGAGCATGTACTACATGCAACAGTCCGGACAACTTTATATTAAAATTTGCATATGGTGTTACGAATATTTACATAAAACACAGACGACCTACTAAAACAGAACACAAATATTTACAAGGGATGTAGACAGCCTAAAACCAACTCAACCCAGACCTAGCTTCATAATTTAAACCCTCGATTTCAGTTGAAGAGCACATCCATTCATGTGACACAATAACGAGATGATAATTTCTTATCCACCATGACAAGATACCGATATGNACACCATCCTTCCTTTATCTCTCCTATCTTGTTCCTAGCTAGCCTTCCACTTCTCACAGCCAAACTAGTCTGTCCTTTGTTTTGCATCTGACTTCTTGATTGATTTCACTCCCGGCAAACTTTTGCTTACACACAACTATGAGGCAGGGCATAATATTTTCCTGTCTCCAATTGGATTCCTTACTTCTTCATTCTTATTGCTTGTTGAAAACAATGTGATTCATCTGAGCATTTCCATTAAGAGTCCTTCATGCACCATGCCTTCTGGATGATAGGAATTATTCGAGCAAACATTTCCAACCTGCAGTGGAATTGACATAGAAATCGATTGGTGTCCATAACCAATTGAAGGAGTCCCAAATTCCATAGTTTCAATGCAATCAGAAAGATTTTGTCCAGATGCAAAAGTCTGTTTGGTCTGTGCAAATGTACAAGAACGTGGATCCTGTGTGCTAGAAACCATTATAACATTCTCGTGGATCTGTTTATTTTCTATTTGAGCACTGTGTTCAGTGCACAGACTAGATTTCCTGGTAGCGAACTTGTCACATGGACTGGCACCTTTACCGCAATATCCTGAACCTAAATGTCCCCAAGTGCATCGTTTTCCCCCACCGTGTGCTTTGCAAAAATCAGTTCTACCTTGTGCACTCTTTGTACATCCTTCGAGCTTGCACCTTTTTCCACCACCATGACGAACACAATAGTTGGTGCGCCCTCTTGCACTCTTGGTACACTCAAGTTCAGTGCATCTCTCGCCACCACCATGACAAACACAAAATAAAGTTCCCACATGCTCGGTCTTTGTACCCCCTTTAAGTTGACATCTTTTGCCCCCGCCATGGCCTTTACAGAATGGAGTGCTCCCATCTGCACTTTTTGTGCACCCCAAAAATGTGCACCTTCCGCCACCGCCGTGAGCTTTACAGAACATTGTACTCCCTTGAGCACCCTTTGGGCACCAAGGATATTGGCACTGACCGCGGCCTCCATGGGTTATGCAAAGACCAGTAATACCCTCAGCACTCTTAGTGCAATTTTCAATCTTGCACCTTTTGCCGCCCCCATGACGAATACAAAATCGCGTCTTACCTCTTGCTGCATGAGGGCAACCCTCGTGAGTGCAACGCCTACCACCTCCATGCCTTATACAGTAATCAGTACGGCCTTTCGCACTCTTAGTGCATCCAAGATACTGGCACCGGCGACCACCTCCATGTGCCTTGCAGAAAATAGTTTTTCCTTCGGCTCCCTTCTGACAACCAGCTCTCTCACACCTCCTCCCACCTCCATGGGCAATACAGAGACCAGAAGCATCTCTTGCTCCCTTTATGCATCCTTCAAACCGGCAAATTTTCACGCTGGTTCTCCTTTTCTGTTGCTGATTAACCAATCCACTGAATGGAAGTTTTGGGGTCACCTGAATAGGATTGCCAGAGCAATGGATATGGTCAACAGGAACAAAATTAGGAATATTCGGCAATGTAGAAACATGAAACCCAGTTTTCCACTGAGATGATATTGAATCAACAACTTGGGCTGAAGTGACTGAGGCTGGTGACTCAGAAATCTTCTCATAAGGACTGAACCCTTGAACAGCAGTAAAATCAGATTCAGCAGGTCCAGTAGACAGACTTAATTCGAGATCTAATTTAGGCCTCCTTACTTCAAGTGCATTTGAAGTCCCAGCAGACGCCATCTTTTGATTGGATATTCTGTGACCTCCTCGGTTGAAGTTGATGCTGAGATCAAGATCGACCGAAGACTCCGCTTCCATTACTTTCCCAGAGCATATGCTAATGCAAGAACTTGATAAATGGCCCAAGCCAAGAACCAGAGAAGATTCATCAATAAAGCTCCATTTTCTATTTCTTCCCTTAGAAAAGAAAGAGCTAGGCATACCAGGAGAATAAAGATCTGGGGCTCCAATGACGGCATGATCAACAACTTTTCCCAGACCTCTTGACATAGTGGCCAAAGTAGTAGCAATGTCAGGGGTACTATCCATGTACACACAATCTCACACCTCGAGCCCAAACCCAGTAACAGCGAAAAAAATATATAAAAAGAACAATTTTGCAGGTTGCAGAACTTCCGAGGTCTAAAGATGAGAAGAAACGAAACTAATAAAGAAAGACAAAACCCGAACTTCAAAAGATGGGGCAAAAACCACCACTAACAAACCCCAGTGTATCCCCGTGATCCATTCTAAGAGCTAAGATTGTGATATGAGCAAATAACCAGCAACAGGACATGAATTAATTAATATTTACATCTGTTGCAGATCAATTTCTCCACTAAACATCCTGTTCAAAGCAATTGAAAATTCGTTATGCGGCGATACATTGCCAAATGAAAAATAAACAAATTTAAATCCAAATAGGAAATCCTGCCAGCAGATTAGATTGGCACGACATCTAGCAACACAGCTATATATGCATTGAATAGAACAATTATTGATATGACCTTCACACTTACATCATGGTGAACAAACCATACACGCATGTGCATAATAAGAACTAAAAAATGAGGAAATTTACAAAGAATCACTAGGTTTTAATTCGAATGAATGCATATTTATGTTTTCCATACAAAACTCATTTTCTAGTTGAAATTGCATGCACAGCGGCATCTCAAGAATAATTTAATCTGATCCCAAAAACATTTTTACAGGAGATGAATTTAAAACAAGCCTCCTGCCTCTCATAACTCTGCTTAGAAATCTTTATTATAACTCGAGCAAAGCCATTATACAGAATCAAAGAACAAGTGATTGCATCATCTTCCATCGCAGGACTGCATATATAATAGTTTATTCTCGCAAAAAAAAATATAAGGATACTTACTACTTCAAATTACTATTTGCATATATGCAAATGAAGTAAACATGGAATTCTTTCCTCTACCTGAATTTGTACCGCAATCAATTGTTCAAATTCCACAGATCGGCGATCAAGTGAAAACCATTTAATAAACACAAACACCTTGCATTATACAGAAGCAATGCACAATAGTTGAATTAGTGAAATGGTTTTACAAGCAAAAAAAAAAATAAAAAATCAGTACATGTACAAGACGCGTGGACATCCACGTGTCTGAGCATTCAAGGAAAGAGGGAGAAAGTAAGAGAGTGCTAACGTTCTAGACCCTCAATATTTTACATTGCCGATGCTATCAGCCCAAATAAGACAATGTATACCGCATAATTACAGATGATGACGTTTATTGTGAGTTACGAGTCATTACTAAAACCATGGGCTGAAAGCTTCTCGACAATCTTGAGTTCAAAGTTAGGTGAGAAGACATCACCAAGAAGCCAAAAGACACATTCAGCTATATCGTGCAAAACCAAATGTCTAGAAATTCTCGGTAAGAAAAAACTTCTTCAAAGATGCGTGCATTAAACAATGTTCTATACTCTACCGCTAAATACCTCATTTCTTTACTCCAACACTAAGATACCTCATTAAATACACTGACTGCTTTCTTGGAAAGTTAGACAATACAGAATTATAGAATATTAAAAAAACACAAAATTAAAATCTTATCCTTTGAAATGATGATCTTGTCTAATACAGTACCAAACATATCCCTGATGATTATTAACATATAATATATGAAGTTCGTCTCATAACTTCACTAGATCAGCAATATTAACTTACAATCCAAAATGAGAAGATAATGAACTTCAATCTGAAACTACCAATAAATGTAACGTCAGTGGGGACTGAAAAAAAAACTCAGATACAAGGAACAAACACCAAAACTCTACTTCACAATGTTTTAAAAAAGGAAAAAAATTCCACTTCATTTAAAAAAAATTATAGAATTTTAAATTTTCAAATTAAAAAAATAAAACAAAAAATATTATATTAAACTCTACAAGTAGGCACATGTTTAAAAATAGATATCATTACGTATATATCATCAATAAACAGTGATACATTCTTTCTCTATCCTTCAATTCAATTTGCATACAAAAAATAAATGAAAAACAGAGGAATGCAGAACTTAATTATTGTCTAATTAATCAAGCAGGAATGATATTTCTTTCTTTCCATTAATTTTTAAAACTTGATAAGGAAAAAAGGAAACACGATGCATAAAGTAAGACCTTAAATACCATGTAAACTTGTGAATTACATATTTATAATTAAAACTTGAATTACCTCCAAAATTATAGAATTTGAGGTGCACATTAGCATATAGTGCATTGATAAACGATGGGTTTTTGAGGTTCCAGCCAATGTGAACGAGCTTTCGAGAGACAGCGTGCACGCACGGCCGTGCATGTGAGAGAGAGAGAGACAAGACCAGCGGGGAAAATGAGTGGGAAATAAATAGTGAGATCGCATGCGCACGTTAATAAATTGGTGCACAGCCAGTGGCGCATCGGTGATTCTCTGCATCCCAGCTCAGGTTCCATTATGTGCAGCGTCGGCATTCAAAATCTGTGCAAATAAAATTCAACCAAGTTGATTTTTTGGTTTTTTTGTAAGGGTGGAGTGAGGGTGGATTGTTGACCTTTGAGTCTGGATGGGACCAACTCGCCAACAAATCTTGCATCTACTCTCCTTCGCGTTCAAGTTACCTGAGCACTTGAAACGCACATGTTAGAGGTGCAAGATCGAAACCTCTCCAAAACAGAAGGTGAGGGTCTGATCTTGCATGTTCAGGTGCTCAAGTCAGTGAAAAAGGATAGTAAAATATATTGGGTGTGAAAGTGACACTAATGGAGAAGAAAAAGGAAGTTGGGGTTTATATTTTCAAAGTGAGAATACCAATTTTTTTATTACCTTCAAACGTCATCAAGTGTGACTATTTATAGGCAAAAGGAATGAGCTTGAAATAGCTCAAGTACTTGACATGTGACTTCATCCCGACGAATCATAATGACAGCTCCAAATGAGACAAATAAATATATATAGACAAAGGAAAAAATCACTGTGTTTTCAGAAAGTATTGTTTGTTTCAAGGACAAATACGTCCATTAATCATTGAGCAACGTGCTTGGTAAGAGTAAATGATGAGACTCAACTCTACTATGAACAGACTTTAGCTTTTATCTCATTAAATATTGTCTAGTACTCCATACCAAATGTGCACTAGTGGGTTTATAAATAAGCACTCAGTCCAAGACTTTAGTAAATAGTAAAGTATACAATTCATAGACTGCTAAGTATGAGCGATCATAGACTTGTATTATTGGAATTTCTTTCTAATACTTTTGGCAGATTGATAATTTCAGTCTAAAGGACCTGAACAATCACAATCATGTGGTTCTCACTTGGCTGGTGTTCACGGACGAAGAAAAGAAGAAATTCACTACTATGGGGAATACTATAAAAGAGGTACAAATTAATCAAATGCAGTTCTAATTCTACACGAGACAATAAAAAATGGCCACATAACATCTAGATAGACAATTCATGTTCCAAGAAGGTATAAACATCTAGATAACAGAAGTTAGCAAATTCAGAAACCATTTACCCCATAATATTCATTACTCATTACATGACACGATAATGAACAAGATTTTATCTTCTTTTTCCTTTTTAATACTTACTAGTGTTGTATAATCCACTTCACTGAAACAAGTTATAAGTATAATGCCAAGATGGGGAAAATGAAATTCAATCTAGTGTGCTTTTCCATTTTGTTATGCTTGCCTTAGTGTTCAATTTTAAAACTATATTAAGAATGAGCTATCATTACAAAACTATGCCAAGCTGGCTGGGGATACATGATTGAAAAGTAAATAAACACCTTATTTGCCTATTACTTGTATTTGAGATGAAAATTGTCTAAGAATGAAAAAGCAATCAAGTTTGGGTAAACGTTTTTAAAGGTACTTAAAATAAAGGTACATGATATCTTTGAATGCCATATGTATCAGGAATAAGCACGAGTTGAAATCCATGTACACAATGACAACCCAACTGCTAGATTTTGTAAGTAGAATAATCTGAATAAATAACTGCAGCCTTTTTATGTTAATTCAGCAAGGATGCTAACCTTGATAAGAAGGTGCTGAAAAACAAACCAGAAAATGAAACCTACCTGTTAGTTATTCACAATGAAACTGCTCTCTTCTGCCAACGAAAAAGAGACTGGCAAAAATCATGCTGGATTTTATTTGAGCTCAATTCAACTGAAGTCTGACTGAGGTGAGCATTGTTATGGTTCACATGGAAAAATTCAGCTCTCTCATCATTATTTACTCTGTGAAGTCAGCTCAGTGACATTTCCCAGCCATTGTGCTCTTCTTGAGAATTCCTGCTCATCATTATTTTTACCTCAATAAGTCGATATCACGCCTCTTCAGAGAAGTAGGCTCAGCGTGTCTCTCAAATTTAGATATCCTCAAAGCAAGGTGCTCAATTAAATAATCCAAAACCAGGTCAAAATAAAGGACAGAAAGATAATTGTCCTAGACATCCAGTTAAAGTTGGAAGCAAGTCATCAGGCATCATTTTATTCTTGACTCGATAAAGCAATAACATTCGGACAAGCTATTACTGAGGCCATTTATGGGATGTGAATGTCTGTATTCACCAATAATCACCACATGAGCAAACCCCATTTTCAAAATGATGATAACGGTTTGTATCCCTTAATACGATTTTACGTTCAGTAATCTTGGACATGAACTTGATAGCAATGTGGCAATCTTCACAGACACGTAGATTTTTAGTTACTCTGATTTGTGTCCCTGGTTCAGTATTAATAATAGCAAATACAACGGCCAACTTCTCACTGTGCACTGCTAGATGGTTTTCTTTGTCTTCTTCCTCCACATCATGCAATGCAGTGTCGGTTTTTGGGACATAACCTGCCTCTTTCATCTTCCCCACCAAGACATCTAACTCTTCATAGATCTCCATAAATTGTGGATGCCATCGATCACCAGCAAGGAAGGTGTGGACCCGATTACGGAGCTCAACATTACTAACACCAGGTACTTTCTTGATTCCTCTCCCTTTCATGATTGACCGAATTGATGCCACA